AAGCTATGTTTAATGTAATAACGATCATCATTATTCAAAATTATCACTATTATGCCATTCTTAAGCTATGTTTAAAATATTTATGATTATCACGTCATGTCCAAAATAATTATACAGCAATCACTTGATCGAGAGCACTCTATCACGAAAAATCACTCGGGACTATGATAGTAAAAATCATCACTTGCGTCCATCACGAAAAATCACTCGAGACCGCGCAAATTACTGACACTCTCGAGCGGACTTGAATCTAATAACAGCACCTGATATTCCGTACCTGCCACATCGTCCTGATAGTACATCGACGGTAACTCTTCTGTAAGCAACAGACCTTCGCTCAAATCATTACTTGTGCCCAATACAACGTCCGATGTTTCCGTTACTATCGAATTCATCAATGTACTATCTTTCTTCAATTTAGACCAATCAGAATATGTTAGATCTGTCCTTGCTGAACCTTGTTCCTTCACTGATACAGTTTCCTTGTCAATCCGCTCATTTTGCGTATTATTTTGGAACGATTCCGAGCTCTTCAACAAGTTATTGAAAGGTGGCGGTTCTGGTTCTGGTAAACAATGATCTGTTTTTGACGAGAAGGTATCAAGAATGACGGCATCGCATGGAGTTACCATGACCATTTGTTCTTCTTCGACAACAGTGGATGAACTTGGCGAACTGTGCACGGTACATAAAACATAATCTATGTCGACATCGTTCGAAGACGGTTTAGTCAACAAATCGTCGCATTGTATGCCGTGTACTTTTAACATGTGTTCACGAAGAATCGTTTCGCTGCTGATTAAATGTCCGCATATCTCTATCGGACAACGATACAGCCACTCCATTTGGTCCTCATCCTGGGAACATGTACTGGCACTTTGCTTCTCATTTTCTTTCGCGATAATCTCCGCGGCATTTATCAGTTCCGTGTTCCATCGTTTCGACTTGTTTGATGGCTTCACTCGCGAATAATGAGATTCTTTTGTTTTCATACGTTTTTGATTAGAAGTGCACTCGAGCATATCATTGGCTACGTTTTCTGGCTTAGTCTGCTGATGTTTCTTGATGTGTACATATAAGCTGCTTTTGGCGGAGAATCGGGCATCACACACGAAACATTGAAAAAAACGGCCTTCTGTGTGCGTTAGCCGGTGCTCCTTCAGATGTTCCGAGCGCATAAATGCCTTGCCACAATCCGGCACGTCGCACACAAATTTACGCTCGTTCGTGTGCTTCTTTTGGTGACGCTTAAGTTTACTGGATGATGAGAAAGCCCACTTACAGTCTTGAAAAGTACAAGGATAGGGTTTATAGCCGGTATGAGATCGCATGTGCGCTTTGAGTCGGCAAGGCTTGTCGAAAATCTTGCCACAACCTGGCCATGAACACTTGATGTCCACTTCCTTATAGCTATGTGATCGTTGATGAGACGTCAATGCATTGCTACTGTAATAACGTTTGCCACAACCTTCATGTTGACACACGTAAGGTGCATGGCGTTGATCGTGTGACTTCATGTGTAGTTCCAATGCTCGTTTCGTCTGAAACTTTTCATCGCAGTCTGGCACCTGGCACACGATCCGATTAGGACGATTGTGCAACTTCGCGTGACTCCATAGATTGTAGACAGTAGTGAAACGACGATTGCAGCCTTCCACTTCGCACACATAATCCTTGCGCTTCAGATGTGTCTCCTTGTGTCTCTTCAGCTTGAACTCTGAATAAAAAGCCCAAGTGCAGCCCTCAAAATCGCACTGCAAAAATATAGTCAATTAAAACAATTGTAAATGAAAAAAAGAACACGATTATATGCCGAATAATTTTAAGAGCTAGTACAAAATTAACTTTAAACACTTTTATTTTATTTTATTTGCTGTCAAATTTATATCACTGCGACAAAATAGAAAGAAGATAAATATCATGATATATTTTTAATATACCTTAAACGGTCTAACTCCATAATGAGCCAACAAATGGCCCTTCAGAGTGTACAATCTACCAAATTGTCTGTTACAGCCGTCTCGTGGACAGAGCCACACCTTGTCGTGTTCGGTGGCGCACAAAGGTTGCAGGCTATCGTCGGTTATACCTAATTCCTCCAGTGCATTGGATATAACAATTTCATATTGATTATTTGGATTACTATCGGTATTGTATTCAACTGTGCCATTCCAAACTGCGGCCGAAGTATCTATCTTGGGCAATTTTGGAAAATTACCTGTTGCTTCAATCAATTCTGAAGTCTTGCCTTGATAGATCTGTTTCTCTGTGCCAGTATTGATAACAATCTGTGTCATGTTGGAGGTTTTGTCAGTAGATATAGCGACCACAGCCATCATGCCATCCTGTGAATCTGTGTCAACGGCAAAGCTTTTACCATTAATATGCTTATCAAGTTTCTTCTCTATTCTTTCTGTCATCTGTCGACGTTTCTTGATGATACGAGGTTCGAGTTTTGTCTTCTTCAATTGTTCTATTACCATACCATGTGTATCTATTTCCATGGAATTTGTCATGATATTTGACGAGCTCTCCTCCATTGATGATAGAGTCCCAATGAAGAGCTCTGAGGAATTTACTGAAGATTGTATTAGGGTTTCCTGTTCTGTTTTTATATTCTCCATTTTGTTCATGACTATATTCACTGGTAGCTGATTGAGAGTAACTTGTGTGGATTTCTCACAGGATGTCTCATTGTTTTGCACAGGAACTCCTATTTTTGGAGTATTTTGTTCGACATCATGATTTTCTACACTTATCATTGACTGACTGCTTGCAGACGGCAGAATCTCACCAGCCACTATCATGTCGTCTGGCGTGAGGGTCACTAGTGGATCCAAATGATCCAGCTGGAACTCTGGTAGTATAAACTCGTCAACGACCTTCTCGCATGGTGGTTCCAGTAATCGATTCTCGCTGTGCGTCAGATCCTGTAATATCGGATCATAGCTTGACGACAGATTAAGCTTCTTAGTGTCTGCCAAATCGATGTCAATGGACAGACCATATGGATCTTTGCTTAGAAAGCAGCCATGTGAAAGCACCTCTTCACCCAAATATCGGTCTACGCCTTCTACCATCTTGGCTGCGTCCAAATCCATACTTGATGGCACCGGTAGTTCCGTGCTACGCATCTTAAGCCATTTCTCAAAGTCAGCTACCGTCTCGACGACGTCAACACCCTTTCCAGTCACCGTTTGTTGCCAATTCTCATTTCTTCTTGTTTTTTGATCTCTCTTACTAACTTCTTCCGTTCTCGACGAAGCAAAAAGAACATCAACGGATGCACATTCCGTTCCTTCACTCTCAGAATTAATCCTCTCGCAACTATGTCGTCTCGATGCACATGCGGTGATGGCGGCAGTTCCTTTACAAGACATTTGTGGTCTGCTCCGTGGCCGGCACTGCGGAGGAAGCCCACGTTTGTGTGGAGCGACAACGACATTCGACAGAGCATTATATTTTTTTCACGGCAAGAAGGGGCTCCGTTTCAGGAGCCCAATGCTATGACCCGTTGCACATGCAATTGTCACCGAGCGTCTCGAAGCAAGCACCATTTTTCTTACCAATTGTTTCTGCGGCAATACTAAGATGCGATCCGTTTCTCTAAATCTCTACAATCCGCACCTTATACCGGGCAATCGCAAATCGCCGAGGATCGCGCGGTGCGAATTGTCGAAGTCAACATAACCTCTTACCATGTACGCTGCTGCGACAGGCGGGCAGACTAGACAGCGGTCGCGATGTGTCGGATCGATACAGCGGTTATATCCGATAGGGAGACTCGTCCGATGATAACGACAGGGAATGAGGTATTGTTTTCCTTCGGTGTTTGTCGAGTTTGCTCGTGACCACGAAAAAAATATTCGCGCACGACTCGCTGATTATACTCTCTTTCTACAGATAGTACAGATAACAATAAAGAGAAAATGATAAAACAATCAACAATCAACGGGCAAACTGACGCGCACACCTCGCAACTCGCAGCCGCAGCTGTGCCACCTACCGGCACACACGATTATCTTATGATGCGTCAACGTCACGGTCGATAACAAAGAATCTATTCTTTCTGACATATTCTTTAAGCCTAGATAAAAGTTAAGCTTATTCTACAATGTACTCTTTGTTTCTTATTTCTTGCTTTTTACCTTTTGATTTTTTTCCCCTTTACAACCTTTTATCGACGAAGAATTGCAATTTTTGCTACATATTTCTTATTTCTTCTGAAGTTTAACTTTTATCTTGGACGACATAAAACAAAAAACCGGATAAGAAGCAAAAAGACAAGACGTAAAAAATAATAAAAATAGGATACAAAAAGTATATTGTAAAATAGGCTTTAACATCTTGTCTTTTTGCTCCTCAATAAAAACGGTTGCAAAAGAGGAAAAAAGCAAGAAACAGGAAAGAACACATTATAGAATAAGCTTAACTTTTATTTCGGGCAACATAAACATAAAAAATTAAATAAGAAGTAAAAAGACAAGATAAAAAACAGCAAAAAGCAGAAAATAAAAAATAAAAAGCACATTGTAGAATAGGCTTTAGCCTTTCATATTTCAATCTTCTCTTTAAAAAAATTTTGTCCTTCAATATCTTGAATTTTATAATTTTCTTCTATATATATATATATA